CCGCCGCCAGCAAGCTGTCTGCGCTGCAGCAGGGTTTGTACGTGGCCAAGTGTTCCCTCGGAGACGAGACTAAGCTCGTCCACCTGTCGTTCAACAACAACTATGCGGATGTGTTGGCTGCCGTACAGGCCAAATTTCCCTCCGCAGGTGCTCGGGCGACCCAGTTGTGCAGGGGGGAAGGAGTGGGGAAAGGCAGGGGGATTTGAGGCAGGGCGGCGGTCCTCGGTCAAGATGCGCGCGCGTGTGTGTTTTGGGGGTGCATTGGCGGGCGGCCGGGATGCATGATGCAATGCCGGAGGGGGGGGGAAAGAGGACATGAGGAAGGCGGAGAGGGACAAATGGGGGTTTACTTGCGCGTCTTGAGATGTCACAAACCCAAACCCTAAAACCCAAACCCCCCGGGGGACGGCACCATCCCCCCCTCCTCCTCTTAGGTCCGTTCGCGCTCAAGTACTTGGACAAGAACGGCGATGTCATCACGCTCACCTGCAAGGCCGACATCCACGTGGCCCTAGCTGAGCTGATGCAGCAGTACCAGCGGACCATGGCGTCACAGGGCGCACACGGACCTCGACTGACCGCCTTCCCACCGCTGAAGCTGCTCCTGACACCGGTAGCCAGCGCGGTGAGCTTGCGGAGCCGGGCGGGAGGAGGGGGGGGAGGAGCCGGGCGGGAGGAGGGGGGGGGAGGAGCCGGGCGGGAGGAGGGGGAGGAGGGGGAGGGGGAGGGGGAGGAGGGGGAGGGGGAGGAGGGGGGGGGAGAGGAGAAATCAAATGAAGTCGGGGGCGGGCGAATATGAGCGGCCAGGATGTGTTTTGTCGTGGAGGTTTATGGAGGGGGAGGGAGGGGGGTTCTGTCCTTCCTATTGCTCCTGTGGAAAGGAAGGAGGACGTGGCCCTGGCCCCCCCCTTGGGATTGGGTGCCAGGAACAGCAGTAGCAGTAGTAGTAGAGCCTGCTGCTGATGGTACTGCTGCAACCTCGGGATGGCAGTAGCGTCAGGATGACTTGGAAGTCTCGGTGGTGGACAGGTATGTACGGCAGCAGGTGTTAGGGGACGGATCTCGTGGTTTCGGAGCTTGCGGAGTTTGGGGAGAGTTTGGGTCGGGATTGAACTTGGAGGTGTGCCGGTTCAGTGGATACCTGCTACTGCCGCTGCCGGCGGACGTCAGGTCGTCGTATCGATCTATCGACCGCCATAGACCTCCTCGCCCTGCACTTCTTCCCCCTCCCCCTCACTCTCCCCCCCCCGTCACCACACACACATACACACGCACACACGCAGGCCGACGTGCCCAAACCCCCAGCCGAGGAGGAGTTCGAGCGGCAGCAGCTGCTGGCCTACCAGAAGGCGGCGTCCGGGGAGAGGAAGGTGCGGTGGGGGGGAACTAGCGGGGAAAATACACACACATACGTGTGTGTGTGTGAATGTTACTTCGCAAATGACTATAATCATGAGTCAATCTGTCAACATGTCACACACGTGAGCTGCTTTTCGGAACACAAACCAACACTCATTCGGAGCCCCGTACATGTAAATACGCATACATACAGACAGACATACAACACACACGCACACGCGCGCGCCCCACAGGGTGAAGGCGCCACTGGGTCGGGGGTTCAGGGCGCTGCAGCTGCTGCTGGCGGCGGGGAGGGCGGTGAAGAGCTCCACTTGGATAGCTGGCTGGTGGACTTCGCGCAGTTGTTCATTCAACACACGGGGCTTGAACCTGACAAGTGAGTGAGGCGGGGTGTGTGTGTTTGGCGTAATGGGATTGGGGGGTGGAGAGGAAGGGGAGCTCCTTGTGCTGTATAAATCAACGGAAAAAGACGGTACGGAGGGTACGGACGGAAAGAGGGTGG